CCTATCTGTGTTTATAATATTTTCTGATAACGGTGCCAAAAAATTTCTCAGCACTATCGGACGCATAACGTATGCGCTTCAGGGTAACTTATCAATTTCTCTTTTCGCCAAGAAAGCAAGTAACAGTGACAAGTAAACAAAGTAACCAACTAACTTTGCAGAAGCCGCCTTGAAGAAGAGATGAAAGAAAACCACCCTCTGTTCGATAAGCCCCTGTTCATGCTCGACAGAGAAAACAGGATTCGAAAATTTTGCCAGTATATTGCGTACGCAAAGTATGTTCCCAGGAAGGGAGAGTCTGTCACGCAGATCATGCTCCAACAGAAGTACAAGGAAATACAGTAAGAATATTTTGCTTAATTCTTAAAATATTTTTATGCGTTGCTGGTCTTACTGTAGTCTGAAAAATGTATAGAAACTGTTTATTTATACAACGCAAGCAAACAACTTGTCAACTACTGACGTTCCGGCTCGTCTTTCTTGGGCCAGGCTGATTCCCACGGTTGGTTCTGCGGTCCGCAGCTGTTGTGATATTTGGAAGCAAAGGCGTGCTTTCGGCCCATGCTGCTGGTTGAGTAGTTTTCCGGTAACGGTTTTGATTGTTGTTGTTATTTTCTTATCGTCATCTTAGGCTGTCAGAGCCAAGGATACGACAATGTATCTAGATTTGCGTCATGCTTAGAAATTTCAATACAGGATGATATTAGTCAATGTTCACTGCTGCGGGAAAGGTCTTGTTCCTCGTTATAAGCAGGTCTGCCTCAAGGAGCTGCTTCCAACATTTATATTGTCCTCCTATATGTCTGTAACCAGTGGACAGCTCCCATGTGAGAGAGATTTTATAAACGTTTTCTTTCCTTTCTCAGTTGTTTAATCATCTCGAGTAAGGCGCCATCTCTGAGTTCTTCAAATAGTTTTCTTCAAACCGTTGGACTTTAGTATCTGCTCGAACCATTGCCCTTCAAAGACCTTCGTGTACAACAGCTTTGGATGCTTTCCAGATGTGCTTCGTGACGTCTAAGGACTGTTTTTGTTTCCACACCGTACTTTGGCACCGAGAATACCGCTGCATTCATAACGGTGATTTTCGTGCCAGTTCTTATAGTCAAATCTTTCCATATTTCATACAGCTTTCTGAAATTCGCGGCTGCAAGTCCGTTGAGCCGCTTTACATCAGAATCCGTGCTTTCTCGTCAACTAACACTGTTCCAAGTACTGGAACTGGTTCATGTCTTCCATCGCAATACCATTCCAGTTAATCCTTGGTCAGTTGCTCATGACGGGTGCTTCCATGGTCTTTATTTTCCCGGCATTCATTTGCAACCCCGCTCCCAATGCCGTGTTGCTCACGTTTTCATAGAGTGCCCGCCGGCCACCTGCAGAGTCACTCGGAAGCACGATGCCATCCGCATATTCAAGGCCCGTTACAAATACCGCGGGCACTCGAACTACGTCGCTGACTGACTATTGGTTCTTCATTGACATTTGGGACGATCCTCTTCCGCATCACGTAGTCCGCCGAGGTATTAAATAACAGAGGAGAGAGTACCTCGCCTTGCAGAACACAGCTCGTTATATGGATCCATTCGCACGGTGATCCTTCGGTTCGTTGTACAGAGCTTCGATCAAATTTACCATCGTCTGTGGAATTGCTTAGTGTCGAATAACAGTCCACATGGTTGTGGCGTTGTGTTGAACCAAAGGCTGCCTGAAAGTCCAAGAACCTCACATGTCAGGTCAGTTGGAAACTCCTGCACTACTCGACTATTCCTTTTAGCACGAAGATGCTGTCCTCCGTGCACAAGTGTCCGCTCCAAATGTGTGCTTGAATTGTTCACAACGAGCGATCGATGACTTCCTTCAATCGTCCAAGGTAATCGCCTGGACACCTCTAACACAGGCAGTGGAGTTATCCCTCAATAACTGATAGAGTTAGCTTTGGACACCAGATTTGAAAATCGGAATAATCGCGTCTTTCTTCCAGTCGTCAAAGATTACTTAGCTACCTGATGCTGCGGAAAATTAGATAGATTCATTTGAGGAAGTTTTTGCCTCTGCATTTCAGGAACTTCACACCAATTCCGTTGTGCCTGCAGATCTAGGGGCTGCGGCAGATTTGTATTGCTCTTCGCATTTCTTCAATTAACGGTTGGAAGCAGTCAACATTCAGATTTAGCAAGTTGTATTCATTGAGTTCGAAGTCTACCGTAGATCGAAGCATTTTCGATGGTCTTCAGCTCATGTGGCGGCTCGCTGGACTTGTAGTTTAGCAGACCTGTGAAAAACTTTTGTTTGCCACCGTTGGCCACAGTATTCACAAAGCCGTGCAGCATCTTCCAGTTCCTTTCACTGCGGCATCTTTTGCTTTGGCGCTTCGAAACCGTGCCATCTTTGCCCGTCCTCGCAGCAGCTCCTGTTGATTACGAGGAGATGATACTTCCTTTTCTCAGTCGCGACAGGGTCATGCCAGGGCCTTGCTTCACCGCGATTCTTTTCTGACGAATATTCCATGTTTCAGTCGTGACTCAGGACTGCTGCTCGTCCGACGGCTTTGGTTGCCGCGGCGACAATGCTTCCTCTCAGGAAAGCGTACAGTATTTTCGAGTCTTGGTCAATGTTAACCTTGTCAGCAACGAATCTGCTGTTGATCTCCAACTGTAACGTCTTGCAAATGACTCAAATGCTTCCTAGAGTTTGTCTGTGTCAAAGCGGGCGTTTGTCCTTTCCCGGTTGTTAGTCGAACCGTAGACAAGCGAAGGCGGAGCTTCGCGACCGCTGGGAAATGGCTATATCCAGTGCCTCTTCCTTGTTGCGCCCTAGTGTCGCCCAGGACACGCAGCCATTTGTCGCTCATAATCACGTGATCGATCTGACTTTGGTAGCGAATCCTAGTGTCGTCCACGTATGCTGATAGATGTGCTGACGCTGGAACATCGTCCGGCCGATGACTAGGTCTTATGTTAAGGTCTAGCAAGCGGTAAATGTTTACCTAGCACACGTGATTAAGAGTCATTGTCGGCGCCGACCTGAGCGTTGACCTCAGCGGCAGCGATCAATAGTTAATGTCGAGGGAAAGAGCCAAGGACTTCATGGAGGCAGGATTAGAACAAGTTCTTCTTCGGATCCTCATCAAAGTTCGTAAGGGCATGCCCAGCTTATCTTAACATATACATTTTAATCTGCAAACGACGACGCGATCACTCATATACTCGATGGAGATCGAAGCGTTTATCGCTCAAGGGGACAGTAGCACTGCAACTCCAGCCTCGCGGCGAGAGTTCTGGTTCTCAGACCAGCAAGACTGCCATCCATTTTCAGACCGCTGATCTTCGTGGTCAGAGAGGTGGGTCTCTAACAGACCCAAAATATCCAACTTGTATCAGGTGCGGTACGGGTGTCGTCCAGTTTGCCATCGTCATTCAGTTTCCGAACGTTCCAGCAGTCAGGTAACCCGAGGCTTCTCCTTGCTGATGGTGAGTTTCTGCAGGTCAGGATTCATAGTTGCCTCAGCTAAACCATCCTGTGGATGAGAACCACTCATCACCCAGACTTTGTAGACGGTACATTGCGCAGCGTAATCGACAAGCAGCCACCCACCGCCAGAAACATGGTAACCGGAACGGGCTTGATCAAGCTTGCCCAGTCCGTTAACAGTTCGTATCCTTTTTCCCGGTTGATATTTTCGATATCATGATAGGATAATCAAGATTTTCTTTGAACGTCAAAGAACCATGCAAAGAGGCTGTGGGGATTGTGCAACAAGCAGCAGAGGAATTTCACGTTCCCTGTCACGGCGTCGTTAAAGAAATAAGCCGGCTGAACGGACGAATCAGAGAAGTCTAAATTATCCAATCCTGTGAAAATCTCAACCTGGCAAAGGATGCAAACTCTGTAAGGATTGGAAACAACCTCAAGCCCCTTACCAAAAAGCTACTTAAGTAGCAACATGGGCCAAAAGCACACCAGCGGTCACCAGTGGTCCCAAACGTCACAACAGCTGCTGACCACAAAACCAACTGCCGAAATGAACCCTGATCACTCTGAAGAAGGCGCCTGAGTGATGAGCCGAAATGTCGGCACCCGACTGACTGATTTATTTGCTCGCGCTGTGTATAATTAAACCGTTTTTATGCACTTTTAGGTTTGAAGCTTAGTTAATGTACAGGTACTCTTTAATATCTGAATATTTTGTTCATACTTTGCGCAAATTTAAACCGTTTTACGCTGTGTTATAAAATTGTCAAGAAATGAATTAATTCCATGAGCAAAACGTCTTCCATCAGGCCAGTGCCGTGCCCCTATCACTCAAGGAAAAAAGAGGAATGTGGTGGAAACAGAGCCAATAGGTTTTAACGAACCAAAGAACACAGGATTTGGTGGATAAAAAGATCAGTTAATGAAGGACTGAATGATTCAATTTGCGAGTGAGTGAATAAAGCATTGAATCAACGAACTAACAACTGGATGGCTAAAGAGATGAACTAGTGCTAAACGAATGGAAAATGGCCGACTCAGTTGTCATATCTGCAAATATTTTTTTTCTACTTTTTTAATTGATTTGCTCTTCGTTTAACATTTGTCCCAGTGAGTGGCTTATGGATGAATTTTGCCGTCCATCCTCTAAACAGGAAATGAGCTGAATCATCACATGAATTGAGTGGGTGAAAAATTGTTCCCCCGTCATCTCGATGTATAGAACTCACAATGACATGTCAGCAGTGATTATAGGGGACAGCAATACACTTACTCGCAGTGATTACGCACCACTTTGGCTGGTCTGCTTTGCGGATAAAACGAATAAAATTTTAAGTAACAATTTAAACGTTCAGGTCAGGTACAAGGTAACCCAGTGACATAATTATTACCTTATTGTGACCCAACATTTCGTTAAATGCAACTGTGCACAATACATTGTGAATTTTTTTTATGTCTTATGTGATTTTATGCAGCCATAAGCTACTCGACTAGCAAAATTTTACGCCATAGGGTAAATGGCATAATGTTTCATCATGCGTTTTCTGGGGACAAATCCTTTCTCAGGCATCTCCTTTTTTCGTAGACATTTTTTTTCTTGAGATGTACTTCATAACAGTGAGACGATACCACGGCCAAACGTCAAAGCTGAAATAGTGTGGCACTTGGTAACCTTTCCGGCTATCCTCGCTCTGCCTATAGCCAGTGCTTCACTGTGTTCCTCTTCATAAAATATGATTAATTTCTTAGTTTTTACTTCTGTCATCGACAGGAAGAAGTTTGATCTGTTGATGCACTACAGATCGGTCGCAGCCATATGTGTGTAATTTGTCTTTCTTCGTTATAATCAGTGATAACGTAATAACGTACGTATTTTTGTGTGATTTTGGAGGATTCTAAGACTCGAACTTCTAAGTGTACAAATTGTGGCTGTAAACAAAAAATATGACAAAATACTTACATATGCAAACAGTTTTGAATATGAAAATTCGTCATTTTGATCAAGATTAAAAGTTGCATGTAGTTGCATATTTACTAACCTTGATGATTGACAGATTATTGATGTCTAAAGCGTCACATTGCTAGTAGAAACTTTGGACATAGTCAGTGCATGCACTTGAATTCCAAGGTCATTCTGAAACCCGTTGGAATATGCTAAATCACAAACCTCTAAAGGCAGCTCTCTATGATATTTTCAGGTATGTTATTTATTTTAGTAACCTTCTGGGATTGATGACGTACCTGGATTGGACAGTGTTCTTCGTGACATGTGTGTCATGTATTTCGATGCTGTTTGAGAAGCCATGGCCCCTCGAGGGGACAAGCCTGCTGATGAATAATGGATATCTTCAGGTACAAGACGGAGCCCGCCCTTGCATCAAGCTTTATTGTGCTGCTGGTTTTATATTGCGATTATTAATATACACTTCTGTGCGGTTGGTTGGAAATCTTTAAATCCCGGCAAATTGCAACTGTTCAAATAGCTCTAGGAATGTTACTGTCACTGATAACTGCTGCAATTGATTTTAGGACAGATTTGAAACTACATCCGTTTATCATCTAACACAGGGAGCGAAATTTCGACATAAGTGGTTTATGGGCTTAATGCGTTAATATCAGATATTATCCTCCTCAGGATGAATGCTTACCAACTTGGTCGACACTGTTTCGCTGGATGTTCCATACTGATCGTCAAATCTTCTCTCATGATGCTTTCGCTTTTTTTCCAAACTCATCGATCATACTTTCTGGATCTGTCATTCGTTGTGCCTGTTAAATGCCGTTTTCTGTTTATGGTGTAAACGCCAATGATGAAGGATGCTCGCGATGCTTTCATTAAGGATTAATACGGACGGTGACTCCAATCCTTCCATCTCTGTTTTAGTAAGGAGCTCCTTATCTGTGGCATATATGAAAAAGCTTGCAAATTCTTGCCTCATTATTAGCCGACTGTTTCAGGTTTCATGACAGGTTGCGGCTAAGAGAATTTTTTCACGAGGGTTGGCATGGCATACCGATCCGTTGCTAGGTTCTTTGTCTGGTCCTCACAATAGGCGTCAATGTAAAGCTTATAGAGGGTGACTTTAATACGCAGTTGGAACGGTCTTACAAGTTTCCAGAACTCGGATCTGAAACTCTGTCTGAAATATGTGCTCGATGACTCTGACTAGCTGTTTGCACGGTATATAAGCGAACCTTCCCATTGTGATACGCGATAGATATCTGCAAGGTGCACTTGTAGGTGTTGCATCATTTCTATGTGCAAATCAACTGCACACGCTCTTCGCCATTGCGTAAACTTAGAGATTATTAATCCAGATTATTCTCAGCCCAAAGAACAGAGCTATATTTTTTGTCTAATTTAATCTTGCACGCTCTTCAGTGGTTATCGTCCGTTATTCTTGATTATAAGTTTTAATGAACCAGGAAGGGTATATTTTTTACACAATTGGTTAGATAACGGTAGACTGCGCACACGAGATTAAAAGAATACTGTTGCTATAAACCCGTACTCGTTCAGCCATTTCACGCAGTTTTCATTCTTATACTGCTGACGTTGCATTTATGAAATAGCTGGATGATTTGCAATCTGAACTTTTACTGTTACACAAAGCAAGATTTGCGTCATTTAAGTCTGCAGATGTCAGAGTTATGCTGGCCGCTATTTTGAATTTAAACTTTGCATCTAATAGGGGTTGAGACTTTAAACTATGGAAATTGGTAAATATCGTATTAGTTTTTTTGTGATCAGCTATATTCCACAGAATTCAATCGTTCAGATTGCCGAATACTGGTTCGTTATTACGATGACATTTGAACTTGTGGTTAAAGTTCTGGCCAATGGGCTGTTTTTCACACCAAAGGCCTTGATACATGACTTTGGAGGTGTTCTGAGCGTATTCATTTACACAGTAAGTAAAAGCATAAAATTTCATCGTCACCTATACCTTCAAGGTAAATTTTCAGACAAGTGTCATATTTCTGGTATGGATGCCAAAACATGTGGCACCAAATTCTGTCGCCCAGCTTTTCATGATATTTCGAGCCGTGCGCCCTCTCAGACTCTATACTTTGGTTCCTCACATACGCCGAGTTGTAGTAGAGCTATTTCGAGGATTTCGGGAAATTCTTCTGGTCTGTAAACGCAGCACGATCTCTAATAAAGATACTATGATGACTTTGATTTGTAGGTTACCGTATTACTGATCGTTCTTATGTTCATATTTGCCAGTTATGGAGTCCAGATTGCTGGAGGAAAATTGGCTACCTGCAATGACTTCACCATAAAGAACAGAGTAAATTTTGTGTAAACATTCTCTGTCCCTAATTAAGACGACACATTTGTTTGTAGGACGAATGCACCGGGCAGTTCTTTCAACACGTTCATGTAACCAAGCTCCAAATTCGCGGTAATGGTGAAAGCGACGTGCATCCTAAATGGATGGTAC